ATACAGTTGGTGGGTTTTTTTCTAGTGTGATTTCAGGTGCTTTGAACTTGATTTGGTCCTTTGAGATGCACACATAGACATGGCATTGGTGCAGCAAACACTTGAATAGCAGAGCACACTCTGCTAAAATCTTGCTGGTTTTAAGCAAGGAAGCAGCAAATCACTTCAATCATGTGAAGATAGTTCTTAGGTACAATAGTTATGGAGGGGTGGCCTTAGTACAAATACAACTTTTCAATGATTTTCTTCCCCTTCTTTCAAGATGAGGATTTGAAACTGGTTTGCCAGATAGTGAATAACTCATCAATATAAAATTGTACCATACAATTTACTATTTCTCTAAGTACTGTAAATAGAGTATTACTATTCTGCTTCTTGAATAAGAGTTTGGTAGTTGCAGTAAATGCAGAACTGTGGGGGTTTGTCTCTTTTAGCACCAACACCTAACAAGAGAGAGACTGTAAAAGAAAAAGGTTGGGTTTTTTCCTATAACAAATTTGATTTTTAACAATACCATGTTATAATTTCAATAAGGGAATGCTGGCAAATTGATGTGAAACAAGTGCCTGTTCTTGGACATTTTGGTTGCATTCCTTCTCTGGAGCCTATGCTTAATCAATGTCTAAATATACTGGGAAGGTACACAGTGCTGTTGAGTAGGGCAGAAAAGGTCCTAAAATTGCATGTGCATAACAATTCATTGTTTCCTTGTAATGCATATAGTATAATTATTAAAATGGGGGTGATACCAGTATTGGATTTTTTTAAAAACAAATACTGCTTGTTGATACCTAGATTTTTCTCCTCCTTTCAATTCCTGGGTAGGTGGAATATTTTGATGCAAGAGTGATTGTAAGTACAAAAGTGATTACTTTATAGAACTGATCACCCTCAGAGGATTCTTGAGATGATCATTTAATGATTATGGAGCACTTGCATGTATGTAGCTTATACATAAAAGCAGTAGTTTGTCACAAATGTAACGGGGAGTATTAGGGAGAAGATACGAAGAAGGTATGTACAGGTATCGTCACTTCAGTTAAGATATGTGTGAAACCAGGTCCAGTCTCTGAAGTAGTTGAACATTAGTTCTGATTTCACAGTTGTGGAAATGGAAGCACAGAGATAAGGACCTGAATTCTAGAAGTGCTGAATAATTGCCATTTCTGCTGATAGGTAACATCATTACATTGCAGCACTCCTAAAAGCTGGGTACCAAGGAAATCCCAGAGACAAAGTTTGCTTTCTTCGTTGCAGCCCTCTTTTAGATGTCACGCTCGGTCCTTTCTTCCCCTCCCAATCTACATACATTGTGCCTTTTTAATTCTCTTTTTCTGTTGGAGATCGATACATGTTTGACTTAATTGGAATTTCTTTTTACAGCCGTGCAACAGGTCTGGATTAACTGTTGAATTATCCATGCACAACATCTTCAAAAGTACTTCATATTTTAGCTAGACTCAGGAGCAGCAATAGGAGGGAACACTTCTATGTTTTATGGGGCACCATTAATGGAATATGCATTGTGTAGAGACAATTGCTAGGGAACAAATTAATCACAGATAACTTATTTAACAACGTACATTATTGGTGTTACACTTGGGTGACGTTTTGCAAACGTATAGCAACTAATAGGTGCAAATTTGTATTAGCACATTTAAATTGATGCAGAAACTACTGTCTTGGTCTGTAGGCCATTTGGCAAGAGACACAACTTACTGAAGTATTCAGGACTGGCTTAATGGCTATTTTTTATGGAAGACATGAAGTAGAAATGTATTCCCCTGGCACAATGTGCACACTCAGTAAATGCTTGATAACAGCATGGTCACCTACTTGTTGGTAGCTTGTATTCAGTTGGTAAAAATAGTTAAGGACAGTCTGCCTCATGTCTGTGGGTAAAATGCATATGACTTTGAACTGACTGTTTCTACAAACAAACCTGTAATTGTAGGAACACTTGGATGCTATAGCACTTAAAGGAAGTGTGACTGCCACTGCATCACATAAGATGAAGAGGCTTTCTCCTCATTTTAAAGTTCTGTGTTTAAAGTTTCCTCTTCTGTTTGATTTCCCAAGAGAACTTAGATGATAAATCAGTTAACTTTCTTTTTTTTTTCCTGTTGTTTTGGGTGGTGTTCTAATGATTTAAACCCCTTAGTTAGTTAATACCAGCTGAGATAGTGGCTGAATCAGAAAGTTTTGTTTGAAATCTTAAAACTTGTACTATACCTGCTGAATAAGTTTAGGATACACTGTATTTGGGTTAGTAGGAATAAAAATACTGCTGGTTTGATTTTTATTTACATATATAGATTAATTTTTTTTATATGGGGCTGTATATATGTATAAAAACATCTTTTGAAATGCCTCTTTTCTAAGCGTTTACTATTAGTACGTTCTTGGTTTGAATTTTTTCTTCTTTTTGTCTTTTTTATTGGTGGTGGTTTGTTTTCGTTTGGTTTTTCAGTTTCCATTAGCAGTACTGTCTGGTTATCATTAAGAATTACAGGTTGAAGT